ACAAAGCATAAAACGCACTTTCGGACGGGTGTTCGTGTTCCGTCTAAGCACAAACCCAGCGAAGGCGATCAAGAAGCTTAGACGCCAATGTGTAATATGATGCTCTTAGTCATCTTAAACAAGACTGTAGCAAGCGACTTCGTGATTGCGTTCACTCAAGGCACTGTTACCAGATATATATATCAAATCTATATAATAGATAAACAAATCAGAAAATGAGTCATTTGACTGCGATAATATACGTAAACAGATATACGTAAGCTGAAGTGTACCAATGAATGAATCAATGAACCAGCGAACTTTCGTAATAACTTGACACCTTTTAATCAATAGAAATATGCATACAACAGTATTGTATACGTGCGTAAAAAGCACGAAGCTTTCCATTTGTTTTCCTGTTGGTGCCATATGTTGTCAAGACATTCACGCACACGATGACCGATTTTTAAATTTTTCCGCCAAAACTACACAAGCCATTTGAAACATGCACCTAACCTAAGACATTAGTCGCCGATGCCAACAAGTGAAAGTTTCCATGACGCCATTCTTTCCTCTATATATACACATACAAACGCGTTCACACAGATTGTTCCTGTTCTTCCAGCATTTGAAATGTGTATGCGAGTTTTTAATTGGTTGGTGCCGCTACTTGACTACCGTTCGGTGATGAGATAGATTATCGTGTAATATTGTCCTGCTCAGGTGGTAACTGAATAGCGAAAACATTTTTTGAGCTCGTTCAATACTTAACGCTGCATTACTAGCAGCAGCAATAAAGTTATGTGCTTAAGTTAGCCTAAAAATATTGGTAGATCTGGGCTTATATATAAAAATTGATTTATATTTGGTGCTTAAAGAAGCTGGCTTAAGAAATAATAGATGAGGAATAACAGCTGTCAGAGAGTTTCGATGCTGTGTGAAACACATCTCATAGCTAGCCTGTAACGTTGATGATACATACAACAACGATAAATATATTGTTGAAGACACAATAAAGCTTAAGCAAACTACTTTCGTTGAAGTTACTACTGTTGATATGGGCTACTGGTTCACAACCCACAACCCGTTTGACCTTGTTCACGTTAATAATCTTCGCGTGACCTGAACGGAGAGTAGACATATATATATACATATATATATATATATATATATATATGTCGTCGTCCATTAAATAAGGGCGGCCGAAAGCCGGCTTAACACCATTCTAATTTTATCATGCTCAATTTCAACTTAGTTTTCCAGTAGTTCAGTTCAACTAACAGTAAGCGAACTGGAGGAACTTATGGGCTGATGGTCTGGCTTTCTCGGATTCGTGAACCTTGCGAAGCACTCGACCGACTGTTTAACCATCCTTACAAACCTTACAAAACGCATCGCCATAACGCTACAGACGTTAGCATGATATTTGACCATACGACACGAGTCAGCAGTCTAAAGGCTAGCTTTGGAGACCATTACCGAGTGGAGCCCAGACGTAAGCGATGATAGTAAGCAACAGCAGCAGCGGCTTGTTGTTACGCTAGACCTCCCTTTTGTTCATCTATAGCAGACAGGCAAAGACCGCTAAGTTTGTATGAGTTCGCTCTTATCGAGAAGCAACAGGGGAACTAGGGCAAGGCAGGCAGTAAGTGTCTACCATTATACTGCCTTCTCCTACTTATTTCGACGCCAGAAATGCAAAAAGATCTACCTTGACAAACTATATCTTGCTGGCTTTGGGCTACTATGCACACAAATGATGCTGATCAGGTGAGCATACATACTTAGGAGCTTATGGATAAATAGTCCCTAGCTAATCGAATCATGCTTCGCAAGAAATTTAAATTGCCAGTAACAATTGAACCTTGACTTACTTATAATCATTGCCATAATACTTGCACATATAAGCAATCGCAAAAATCCCAACACAATAGAGTAATAGCCACGCAAGAACCATCAATACCAAATTTTTATAATTTATACACACACTTTTAGTTTGAAGCGAAGGATTGCAGTCGTAAGAGTCACGGTACGTGTAATACAGGCAGAACCGTTATTTAACGCATTACTTATTGAATTAATAAAAGTACCGTTATTCTGTATTTATCTAGACATTCCTAAGCAATCCTCAGTCGAGACTGTTTAAGTAGCAGTTCATCTGTGCATTGTTGAAAGGTTCTTATCTTATTTTATCTACAACCACCAAAATCAGTTGAGCTCCTAATATATATATACCACTTAATACAACCTCCCCTGTTTTCCTTCCCCCGTATCCACCGCAGAATTAAACATCTAGTCTAATCCATGTTCTGATGTAATGCAATAGACGTCTAGCTGATGAGGCTAAAGGGCGTAAAAAAGCTACAGCTTATAGAGAGGCAGAGACTGCTCTTGCCCCATTTTCCTCGTCATTCCACTGGCCATCGGTCCCTTACCCCTCACCTATTGTATTGTTCCTTGTCCTTATCGAAAAAGAAAGAACGAATATATGACGCGCGGGCACTTTAGTCAGCAAAATGTAAAAGAGCTTGAAAAGGCCTACACGTCAATCTATTATTACTTTTCTTTTTCACTAGGGGCTTTGTGTTAGACGGCGCTTATCGCCTCTAGCCACCAGCGCATCGCTCGCGATATAATCATGTGACAAGATTAAAAAAGGTGTAAGGGCGGTGGCATTTTAAAGGGGTTGTGAAGGCAGGCACAATGCGATAAACTAGCAGGAATCGGGGTAAGCAAGAGAATGGTAATTTAGGTTTTTGACCTTGACAGGTTGAGATTTTTTACCCTCTTTCGCTCAACCCTTTGCACAAGTTGCTTCCTGTTAACCGGCCTAGACTTCAATGTCTAATACTCTCTTATCTCGCTGGAGTTTCACCAGACGCCATTATCACGTATGGCAATCGACGTCGGTATGTGATTATAACGCGGAGTCTGTTTAGTTGAACTATTAACGTGCACATAACAAAATAAATCTGTCTTGCTTTAGATTTCTGTTGTTGACTATAGATGTTCACAAAAAAGAGATAAAATAAATTTAAGGAATAGCGTTCTATGATTTTTCCTGTTTTCGATCGCCCGCGTACGCTGTGAGAATATTGCATTCTCACCAAGTACCTCATTATAAGCACGCCCCTCTTTATTGCATATGTAACTCATTAAAAAATGAAACTGTACTTGAAATTCAAGGAGTCGAACTTCGCGGCGGTTCTGAATTTTATGGCTATTGCTACCTGAGGATAGTTTCTACCATAGCTCTGCGCTTCCTCAAACATAACACCCAACAGTACACTGTAATGTATATATAAGTACAAAAATAAAATGTGCGTTTACCCTTTCATGCCATTAGTGAGCAATGCATGGAATAAGGTATCTGTGTATGTAGGAGTCGGATAAGATATATCTGGTTGAGAAAGATTTTATTATCTAGACTACAAAAATTTTAAAGGATTCACTCGTAATACCACACGTCTGTCGCGAAACAACCGGTTTTTATGTTCAGTGAGATCGTATATATAATTTTCGCGGGCTAAGTGGAAAATTAGCTTCCCCCGATTTTTAATCAAAATTATGAGTAGAATAATATGTTTATCGAATTAAATTGATTGTTCATTTTTCATTGAAGAGGATAAGACAAACCAACTAAACGTAACATTACTAAGCAAACATTTAGGGTTACATACTTACCCCTACATTTTCTAGTGTCTATAAGTAGAATTGTTTAAAACTTCACAGGTAGCTGCTATTATGTTTGAGATATTGTACGTGGAAATAACACAGACTATTAAAACTAGTACCAAAGAACAATGAAATAAATTTGTAACATCTGACATCGACGGTCCGTTAATTGTACGTCAGGTCGTTGTTCATGATCACAAGGACAGTTAATACAGTATTATCATAACTATTTGGTATTAATAACAAAGTAATAACAATGAATAGTAGTAACAATATAAAAATATTTCTACACACAGTTTTCAAGTTTGGCCTATTTACGCAAAATGTTTTACCAAACTTCGTACCTTTTATTACAATAGTCTTTTATACAGTGTAGCAATTTGCAAGGGACATTTGCTGGTTTTCGAGTTTTACGTACGCTATTTAAACTGGTTCTTAACATGACAGTTACGTCTATGCCCGGATTCGAATTTACACTATGACATATACTTAACTTTAATAGACAAACAAGGTATTCGTAGCGTTATTACGAGAACAAATTCGTAACAAGAAATTACACTCATATCTTAAATCAAATTGGTGATCCAATCTACTTCTGTAATTTGCGGCAAAAACTTCACGTGGTGCTCAAAGCTCGTAGGTATAGAGGGTTGCTAGCCTCCACAAAAGCATGTTTCTCAAGGAACGATAAAGAATCGTAAAATATTCCGTTGCCATTTAATTATCACATTAGTTAAGCAATTTAATTACCAACAATAGCACCTGGATACAGCATATGAATCAATCGGATACCTACTTTGTTATTTTTGTTTCGGAGAGTTCTTCGAGCGAATGTCATTGTACTCGGCACGTGTTGTGTGTTAACGTTCAACAAACAAATTTGCCTGCCTCTTCAGTCTATTCCTATCAACACATTATTTTTCATTATTATTATTACTATGATTATTATTATTGTCAATCATCATCGTTCGATTTTGTCCGGTTTTGCACAAACCATCCCGCCAAATTAAAGCCACATGTCGAGCCACAATAGTGAATTTTAGCGGCCGAATGTGGCCCGTAGCGCCATCTGGCATGCTTGAGATGAACTACGACCAAAACAAACTAGACCAAGAGAAACATCCTGTGGCCGCTTTTTACTTCGAAAGGGTATACACTAATCTTTTATAAAAAAATTGTAAATTTCAAACAGTTCAAAGTAGTATCATTCAAATAGGTACAATTAATAAACAATTTGACACATCTTTTATGACTCTATTTATTACTGGAATCGATTCTTGCTACTCCTATCGATTCGACTAGCTGTCCATATCCGTTTGGGCGCTGCTGTTGCCATGTCAAAGTTCGCGCGTGTCGTCTGCTTGAAACAAGATGGCTGCGCCCATATACCGCCGCCAACATTTCACGTCAACGACACTGAGATTATTGAAGTCCTTGTTGTTTCATTATTAGGTCGTAGTTTCAACGCAGTAAAGCGCTCGGGTTCGATCCGGAACAGGCTATGCCGCAATGGATCCAACGACTCTGCTTGCGGTTGTTGTCACTGTAATCGTTGTTGTGGCAACGGTATTTATTTTAGTTCGTGGTAGCAGTAAGGCTCGAAACAACGTACTCATTTGCGGCATCTCGAACGCCGGTAAGACGGTACTGTACGCTCAGTTATGCTCAGGCAAACCGATCCAAACATATGTGTCCATCAAAGAGAACCAAGGAAGCTGTGAAGTGGCAGGTGGCAAAAGGGTTCGCGTCGTAGACATTCCCGGTAACGAAAGACAACGAGTGAACATTTTCGACAATTACAAAACGACTGCTCGCGGTATCGTGTTCGTCGTCGATTCAATATCGTTCATGAAAGAACTCAAAGATGTAGCTGAGTATGCCTACATCGTATTGTCTGATCCGGATACTTGCCATCGACGGTTGCGTGTGCTATTCGCGTGCAACAAACACGACGAAGCCATGGCTAAATCGAGTCAGGTGATTAAGACCAACCTCGAAAAGGAGCTGACATTGCTCCGGAAAACTCAGACGTCCAAACTCGTCACGACTGAAAACGTTCAGATGGGACGCACCCTTGGTAAGGAGCATAAAGATGTTAAATTTGAGGATCTTCCGCATAAAATTGACTTCGTCGAATTCAGCGCTTTAGAGAACTTCGAACCCGTCAAGGAGTGGCTATCGACCATCTAGAGTGAAAAACCTATTTCAGTAAGCGTGTAGACAGCTGATTACACATGAATGATTACACTGTCTACACGTTATCTATATATCATTAAGATGTTGCAAGTGAGTCTTTATTAAAAAATATATATGTACACTACGTAAATTAAAACTGGGAATGCGCAAACATACGAGTCGTACTAATGAACAGAAAGGGACAGCGTATTGCATTGAGGAGTGAGCTAAGACATCCTTGTGCGTGCATCAGTTTTTAAATCTATATTACAAAATTGTTGTAAAAATTAAGTCGTGAATGTGTGCGCGTGTGTATGCAGTAGATAAAAATAATAGATTTCTCACTAAATATATGCATAAATTATGAAGAGTAATAAATGTTTTTTCAGTGCATTACAATGCAATTCGTTTAATCAGTTGTGATTATTTTCCGTTGTCGTGAAATACCTCATATATTTCATACGCTTTTTTCATTTAGTTTATATATGTATTAATGTATCAGGGCCTAATTATTCACACTAGTACGATATATCATACCGCTGAAAATAAGCAAATAGATAAGAGTCTTGATTTAAATACAAGTACAAATGTTAAAATGAAATCTTGTCAACATCAGTATCCAATAAGATACGAATAGATTTTATTTAGATATGTGGAATCTATTTTTTCCGACTTTTTATTATATGCATATCACATGGTTACGAAAATATTTCGCGTAATAATATTAGACAGTTTCATTCAAAGCCGAAACGGCCCCTACTCTTCATAAAGTTCTCTCTAAAACTCTCAAAGTTCCGATTAAAGAAGTAAGAATGATTTATTTTTAGTTTCACTAAGAGGTATTCCCTTTTATTATCTGTGCATTAAGAGCGCATTTTTTTTTATTAAAACCTCTAAATGCCACAGTAATTGCAGCTGTAGGATGCGGCCTTGTATCATCATTAAGCACACCGTATTCTACTGATCGTCATTGCAACTTAACGATTCTGCACATTAAGAAAATTTTTTTTTGTCATGTATTGCAACTAGGTGAGGTGGTTATGCTCGATCCGAACATTTAGCGTTAAACTGCATGTACCAATTTGAGGTTATCCTGTATAGTTAGACTACAGTTTTGAAATTAGAAACTAGAAATTAACCACACATACTTCCGTCAGAAAAAAAGAGATAATAAGGTTATAATTTTAATCTAAATTATCTATACAAAGTTTTTTTTTTTTATAATAACGTTATCCGTAAACTGAAGAAGACTAATTTTAATACTTTAGGTTCTAACTTTCATCCTAATCAAAAGCTGCCTAAGATTTTTAGATTGGTTCGGCGCTAGTAGCACCTTATGAAGACTTTTATCTGGGTGGTATAGGTATTAGGTACTTATCTGCAAAATCCTTCGTAAGGTGTCGTGTGTTTACTTAAACCACATAAGCTTAATAGTTATGCTGATTTTTTATTAATTCGAGCAGCAAACTGGTCTGGAAAAATTAGCACTTGGTAGTTACCCATGATTTTAAACAGCAAACGAGTTTTTCGTTACAGGAACCATGCTACTGATCTGGCTGAATTGAAGGTTACTTTCATCTCATCGTGAACACGACCTGCTTCACAATTTTAATTTACTAACTGAGAGTACTCACAGCAGTACGGCAGTTTACTGTTGTGCAACCGAACAAAACAGCATAATAACATGGTTAATAACGACTAACATTTAATAATAATTTAATCAGAAATATGCTTTGAATCTTCCAGCGCTTCATTGACTAGACCGCTACCGGGAGGTGCCAAAAATGTTACCATCGTAACTGCACTACCTAATACATTGTGTATACCTACAGACGTTGTTGCATAATAATCACATTCATAAAGTATGTTGTATTACGCATGCTAGTAGTTCTTCTGATTTTGTCGTGGGGCCTATATTCACTGTTAGTTATTTTTGGACACTGGTTTTTGACCGGAAATTAGCTCGTGTGATATCATGTAATAATTCTATTTAGTAAGTGGTTTCTGTTGGGTGCATTTTATGCTTTACGGTAATTCCCTACATCAATACATTTTTCCTTCCCCCAGCGATTAGTAGGCATACCGCTAGATCGGTCTGTTATAAATAACAGAGTCAACTAGGACATAGCCTCCTCATTAACTTGAATAAGACATCGTTGCACCCGCGTATACTTTATACCGATGTTGACTTACACCTCACACTTAAACTAAGCTACAGTTTCCTACTACGCCCGCAGACACTAATGTTAATTAGTTAGTAGTCGATATACATGATCTCAATGTATTACCATAACAAAAAATAAAGTTGCATTATTTGAATAACCCAATACTCACGTCTTGCTTAGGTCTTACTCTATTTTTTGCAATGAATACATCCACCTTGAAATATCGAGCTTGTTTTGTGATGTTTCTAAAATCTGCAACACTAATGTGCGCAATTCATTACATTGTTAAAACTTAAACACTTGTTTGCTCACTTTAGAAGTTTAGCTGGCTGGTTTACTAGCGAAAGTATACACAAAACCACGTGTTTTGTCCTCCGGCAAAATGTCGAAGAATGATTTCAAGGTACATCTTATTGGGAAAATTAAATCGTAAAGTTTTAGGTGCAGCAGCGATATCTATTTTAGACGTAGGTTTCTGACGGCGGTGCCGACAGCGCCATTATATGACGTTCGAAAGAACGAACAGGAAAACGGGTTCCATTTCATAATAAATCATGGCCAAGGTAAATGAACAGGTCCCCATAATCCCTCGGGCATCGTGTGGAAGCTTGAACTGACTTCCAAGGAATATACATGTCTGAACGTACGTTATACTGGCAGTGTCAGTACCAATTTCCTCACACAGAACGAAATTTCTAGTTGATCCAGACAGAGAAAAATCCCCACGTTGTGTTGGACGATGTCGGGCTAGTGGGCTGCAGTTTGACGACGTTTTTAGGCTGGGGATCTCAATACGCTTCATAAAACGTTCATCCGTTTTAGAAGGATTGTTGGATTGAAGAAGGTCGTTGGCTTAAATAACTTGTCTTACAATTCTGCTAACTGCTAGCTCCAAGAAAGTATTGTGAATATCCTTTGGTCGTAATAATAACTCTACAAGCGTCTACGAACATAAGCAGATATCATGTTTCTTAGATTTTATGCGAAATTATCTTCCACAATATATGGTCATTCCTAGCTCAAAAAAGTTTTTAATTGCCTTTCTCATTTCACTCGTTGAAATCATCATTGCCACTGCCATTACTAAGATCATCATCATCATCGTTATCGTGTTTATAGTTAACCACTCAGATACGCCGTGTTTCCCTTCTTTGGACTTTGTTTCTATCAGCCATGCGGCACCTTCAGTTCGAGCTAGCTGTCGTCTATGCAGTTATTTAGTGATTTAATTCTAATTTTAACGCGACTCACTGCACAACGACCGCGTTTTGATCAGTATGAATTTCAACATCTGTTCTTTCTGGGACCACCTTCGATACACGCGATTACCTCACGCGAGCCTATACTTAATAATAATGCTGACGCTGCTTTTGTAACCTAGAAGCAGTCGACTGCTTCCCACCCGATCGGCTTTACCACTTCATCTAGATTTGAGTATAATGAAAAAAGTTTATGCGGAAACCGCTGCAATTCGAGCCAGTCATGCTTGTTTCTAGCTCCTTATATTTCGATCCTTGCGAGCTCGTCTCGCAGACGACACCCGCGCGCCCGTTTCGCTCTCGCAGGAGTCAAGACATAACCTATAGCCGTCGCGTTATCAACCAACGGCACCATGACCATCTTCTCTGTTCTACAGTTACTGCAAAAGTCGCTTAAAAGCTTTTCCTTTTTTTACACCGATCGATGCGATAGACAATTTTCTTTAAACCATGTTCCAGTCAGTATAGCATACGATATATGCCACTACGACGGAGCTGTTTCTGCAAAACGCTCGAACGCTGGAAACCGTTACGCACGTCATCGGCTTGCAAAGAACCGCGGAGTGAAGATCATTTCGGGTGACGGGCTAGGGATGCCCGAACCCCTCAGCCTGTCAGGGTACTTCCCACCTCTGTGTGTGACAGCAGCAGCAGCAACTTATTGTACTCATTGAGCCTTACGAAGTTTTGCTTTAAAGGGTTTGAAATTTCTTCATGGTTCGGGAGATTGTATCCGTTCGTCCACGTCCGGTTTCACAATGCTTACTATTTTCAAAATGTGATAAACGCGTATTAGACAGTATAAAAGTTAGCTGTTGAATCCAGTATCTATTTCCACTGCGTTGTGGGGAACCTAGTCCGCATGAGCGAAGAAGCGAGACTATGCAGGGGTGCGCCAAAAAATTCGTAATGTTCTCAGTGGCAGAGCCGTGCAGCCTGCTGCGGTACGTCGGCCGTTCATATGGTCTCAGAGGGGGCAAGCTATCCTTGTTGGTTTCGGCTCCTGTGCAGCATTCCTTGGTCCCAATTATTATTATTACTATTATGCTGAATCAATCGATCAATCAATACTAATGAATATGCGAAGTTGGGCCAAACAGAGTAAGAGGTGCTATTTTGAGCTAAACTCTTAGACCTTCAAAAAGCTTGCATATATTTTACTGGCCCCCTATATCATAAGGATGCTTGAGTTGGTTACTTTTTTTTTACACTTCATCTATCATATAACATAATACACGTATTGTGATATAAGTCTGTCTTTTCATATTTAAATTTTTTGAGTACATACACCTGAATTATCGGTTTCTACAATCCCAGTGAAGTAAAACGCTGTCAAAAAAGGGCTTCTTCTTATATTATAATAACGTTCATGATACCTACGGTTGTTAGTGAAAAAGCGTAAAATAGAACCCTAGACTAGGTTAAGTCAAGTGTATGTGATGTTCGTGTTTTTCGGAAAATTCAGAAAACGACGCGATTTACCCTGCTTGTCCGTTAGTTAATTAAAACAAGTAAGCTCAAAGGTAAGGTTCAAAGTAAGGTTCAAAGCTACTAACATCATTAGGCGTTTAGATATGTCGCGTTGTCCATGGGATATGGATCCGCTCAGGAATTATACATGTAATAACTTTCCAAGGTTGAGAGTACATCTACAATAGTAAGCGAGTTCTCGTAATAATAGTAATTATTTATTAAGCGTATAACTTACTATGTCCTCAACACAACCACCGCTCCAGTCATAAAACAAATTTACTTATTTTTTTTATTTTCCGGCCAAAATAGTCCTCGCAGTCATCCATGAATAATTTCACTGGCTCAGTTTTTGGATGTAAGGTATTGCAAACTCATTCGAGTCTTTTGTAAATCTTCAAAGCTTTGAAAAACACATTTGCTGAGTTGTACTACCTGCTTGGTAGGTGCCATAACCACTCACGACAGCATACAGATAGCTCCGGATATAGGTATCAAGGCAGCGGACAAGTCCGTTTAAAAGCGAAATGGCCCAAGATCTTTTGAAGGAAAAAAACGTGGTGCCGTCACGTTATGGCGGACCGGAAGCGGCGTTCAGTCTCAACACATTACCAGCAATTCAGTTCACAGACCAGGTCAAGCTCTAGTTTAGGTTAGTCATTGTACCAGCCTTGAAAGTGTCAAGAAGCATAGCAAGGCGGCCAAATAACGATCGATGTATATGT